GCATTATATTTAGCAGAAGAAGAAAATATCAGCCTTCTTTTAGCATATTGGGAATTTCAAAGTTGGAAAAACTTATAGGCGGATGCGGTTTAAACAAAGATTACTTTGCAAGTGTCATGGTAAAATTAGAAGCAGCATGAATTTGTTCTTCGGTAAATTTGTGCAGCCTTTGACATGAAGTAGGCAAATCAAAACTCAAAGTTATACATGTTTATCTACTGGATGTTATCGAGGGAATTCTTGTCAAAACCGCTGCCGCCGAGATGGGAAGCGAATTGGCCATGAGATCTAATGGAAGTGCGTTCAACAGGAGGTTGAGCATAGTGATTCGGAGGCACAGCTACGGCTTGACACCCTGCAGCCATCGTGATAAAAAATTTTAACTGTTGCAAAATTAATCATTTTGTCAATATCCTAAATTTTGAATTTTACTTTGTATTTGTGCATTGAGTGCATCATTAGAACCATAAAAACTGAAGAAATAATAAGTTGGCATTTTAATTCTTTCTTTCGCTGCCCGTTAGCATCTTTATACCCTCATTCCACTAGGTCCTCTCTAGCATTCGATCCTCCTAATAACGGTACAGTAGACTGGGTTTTAATTTGATGAGATATTGCCCCAAATACCCCCAATCTCAGTGGTAAACACTGCCTTAGGGTAACTCCACACAACAACTCAGTTCCTTTTTGTTCACCTTGGCTTTTTTTTCTAATAACAAGTTTTACCAAATAACAACTCCTGCACTAGATCAGTTACAATTTCAAGATGTCTGCAGCATCAGTATTGTTGCCTATTTTATGTCAATACTCACGTCAATGGAATGCCTGAGTAACACTTGGCTTTCTAGTTAATGAAACAGTTTTCTTTCCATTGTTTCTAATGCACGATCGCCTCCAGGAATGTTATTTGTTTGCCAGTTTGCTAGTAAGCATTACAGTTCAATATGTCCCGTCTCTTTACTAGTGTACTTTGGCTCATGACTCTCGAGCGCAATATTAGAGGCCAATCAGAAGGAGCAGCTTGTTCCTACTTCATGCGCCAAATGATGCGATTGGCTGAGGCTTGGTGAAAAAACTAGTCGCGCGATTTAACGGCAAGCCTTCCGTAGCGTTTGCCCTTGTGTTAAAATACATTCAACGCTGAAATAAACTAAAACACATTAGAATAGTGCCTGCTTACAATATTCGAATTGTTGATAATTTGCTAAGAAAGGTCAAACTATGCGTTAGAACCTGTTATTTAGTTAGGAAAAGGATGTTATTTAGAATATACATGCAAATAAATTGGAATTAATATTTCGTATAGCACAAAGTCAATAGCTATAGCCAATACATTTGGCAATGCATTTTGTTTATTCGTCCTCTGAAAACCGAGTTGCAATTGGGGATAGTTAGACTGTTCTCTGATTCGATAGGCTGTTTGTGGTTTTTATGCATATCTTACCACGGTTACCCGATTTAACCATCTTATTCATTTGGCGACCTGGTTGATGAACTACACTCATAGTGTTAGTAATTTAGGAGAATCTAAACAGATTTTGAGGCTTCTAGAGTAAATGACCTAGCACATGGAACATCAAGTGGCTACTTTCAACTGTCGTACAACATCAAATGCATGATTGATTTTAGAAGCAGCCGGTATTGTAGCGCTGTTACTGAGGAGGCTGCGTGGGTGCGAGGGTTGTTATTGCTTCGACATACTGTGTAGGCAAGTGAATTATCTTTCTTCTGCATTTAGCCTGCCTCTTATCCAATTTCTCCTTTTACGTAACTCTTTATCACTAGTTCCGTTTCCAGTACCTCTTCCATTATATAATTCTCCAACTCTACCCGTTTTCGTCTGCGCTCAGCACGAGAAAGTGGGTGGTACTCGTAGCTGTAGCACCCCTTTCCTCCATCCAACCACTTTCGTCAATTTCTGTCAGGCCACACGTTCCGCAAAATCTGAGGAGGCCCGATGCAGTCTCAGCATCGTCAAAGTCGTACTCCTCCTCATCACCTTGCTTGTGATGGGAGTTCATGACTCTCCTCCAACGCTCCTCGAAAGTCAGAGGCTTCGGAGGAAGGAGGGCATCAAAGGCATTCATATTGTTCAAATTTACTTCTTTCGACTTTGCATCACATACACTTTCTCTCGTGCATCTTGATTTGGAGAAGAGGAATTTGAGTTTCTTCAATATAAAGACAAGACGCATCTTGTCACGATGGTCACCGGTATCCGGTGTTGAATGAAGTAATTTATCGATTGCCTGGGGAGCGCAAACGTGAATCTTGCGTCACGGGAACATCATATGGCATTTGAGGAGCCAGGAACGCCACAAAACTCTAGGCGTTGATGCACAGAAATGTTATAATGGTGGCGGTAGTGAGCAAAACATAACCGTATAAGAACGAGAGCCTTTGCGATCGGGTGGAGTCATCGAAGGGGAATATTTACTCTCTATCGACACTGAAGTGCTGGGCGATGGGGCGGATCGTAGATGCTGAGCAAATAATGGTCGAGCTCAAGGTTGCGTTTGAAGATACTTCGTGCAACAGTGGGTTCAATTTCCACCTCATGCTTTATCTAAACCTCACCTTTGGTAGCGAAAGTTGCAGAATGACTGGATTGCCACTCTCTTTTCCTCACGGACACCATGAGCAGCAATGCTATTTGGCCTACGAGTTGTTAGGTACGAGCTGAACTTCATCGATTCCATAAGAGGGGCAATTATTGTGCGAAGAGTAAGTCACTTGTTCTGATGAAGCCTTAGAGCCCTGAAGCATTAAGGTAATTCTTGTGTCTGAGGGAGACACGGACCTTCACTGATGGCGCTAAAGGTCGGTTGAGGTCTATCCCCATACAAGTTGTCGTAGTAGAGTTCTTCCTGACATTGGCATATGCCTTAGTAGATTAACCTAGGGTGTAGCACAGGATTCTCTATTAGCATTAAATCAAAGATGGTAAATTTCATCATTTTCAAATTAATGGGGATAGGGCAAGTAGATTGGAGAACGTGGCGAGTTGCGAGACGATTCTTCTGCGGTCAATGCGCGACAGGCCAAAGCATTTTGGCACCTGCCTAAACTGGTCAAGGCTTGCAGGATAGAACGGCAACTCTACTGGTGCGAAGACAAACTGCATCAAATACACATCGGCTACCGTAACGTAGTCATGTTAGCACAGAGCACTCCTTACAGCTAGCTCACTATGCCGTGCACGATATCAACAAATGCATTGTAGAGAAAAGTGGAAGGTGCCCATCCAAGTTGACACGACGATGTCAATGCCAAGACGATCAAGTGTGCTTTGCAGAGTCTATGTAAAAGTCGGCCTTGTCATTGAAAGACGCTTCAGCAGAGCTCATCTGAGTTTTACGCGGGCCAACACTGCCCGCTGATTGGGTGGTTGAGGATTTGAAGCCAAGTCATTGGGAACGATGCAGCAAAATCTTTCATACCCTGACTTAGGGAGAACTCAACTGACATTAACTTAATCACAGAGACTAGCACCTGGAAAACTCGATCGCAGGTTAAGGTACTAAATAAAGTAGAGAAGAATTAAACACACGAGTTGTTGCTCTGAGGGAACGCTCACATGTAGGTATGCTATTGACTGTTACGTCGAGGTCTCGCATTCACAAGATGGTATGTCACCTCCCAATGTGCAATCCAAAGTGAAGCGTTTGTTTGTGCATTTGTCGATGAATGAAGGCATGGAAATGAGGAGTAATATCCATGAGCGAGTTGGAATAATCCGAAACAACTACTTGAAAAACGTAATGAAGAAAAACAATATTGGAAAGGCAGAAAGAGGTGGGAGGAACGCAGTACCTTAGAATGACTTATAGTCTCAAAGTACCGCAAGTTATATTGTGAATGCAGATGGACTGTTGCTATTCCTCGTATTAGGCACCTGTACAACAATATGATGTCAAACTCCGACTGAAGGTTGAAGCGTAAAATGACTGTTAGTTTTATAGACAGAGATTAGTGATATTTGGGAGAAGAGATATGTAGATTCGAGATAGATATACAAACAGGTTTGTTTTGCCCATTATTTTAGTGCTGAAGAAATTAGAAGCGAAACTTGAGATGGGTTGTCTAAATTCACTCAAATCCTCCCTTTGCAACGAATGCCTCTTTTGTGGCTTCATCTTGGACTCCCTTTAATACATCCTAATGACAATTTTTGCCAGTATGTAGACCTGGAAAACCTTGTTGGACGCAAAGAGACTGCACACCATCATGTACCATGGGATGGGTGGATGCACATTTGATTGTTGTGGCAAAACGTACGTGCAATTAATCTTAATGCTGTTGCAAATGCCTGCACCCCGCCTTGTCTTATCATTGCTTGATTTATGCTAAATCCAGTGATGTTATGAGCTTGGAAAAATGCGATGGATTTATGTAAGTATATGTACTCATGTGAACTAGGAGAGTGTGTAAATACTTGGCTTTATTGCCTATATCAGGATAAGTGGGGTATTTAAAGTCATCTAGATTACGTGGATTACGAACTGACATTAGAGATACCCTGCTGACAGTGAAAGTAGTCACCTTGCCCCACATCTAAGGATGCAAATACCTTTGGCCTACAAAATGCTTGCACACGGTAAAACGAAGATGGGAGGGAGGACTATCGTCACCCGCCATCCATTTATACGTCTACTATTATGTCATTCTTCACTTCAAGGGTAGGCCTGTCAAGGTTTTTCTTTGTGCCGACCCTTAAAAAATACGCGTTCAACATTAAAACATGAGGGTTATCTCTTCTTTAAGTAAGGGTGCTTTTATTTTGCAAAACTTTCTGTCGCAGCCTATTCAACGGTTACGACAGCAACCTCATTCTTGTTTCCATCCATTTTCTCCCCTTCTTTTCGTGTCTATTTAACCCGTAAGACCCTACCTATATATCAGTCTATCCATCCATTTATCGAGTCACTACTACTTTGATGGCAATATGCCCAACTAATCTACCCAAGTTTCAGACCTCTTCCAAAAGCCCGTATCTTTAGACATCCAAGGATTTGGGGTAGAGCAGGTTCATGGCGTTGTATATATGTTTCTACCTGGGGTTGAGTCATTTCTTGATCTCAGAAATGACAGGTCCAAACAATTGTGTAATTTATTGCATCTCCTCAACTTGCACTTCTACGATACACATGGACACCC